ATTACTCTATTTTTGGTAGCTTGTAACGCTGTATAAGAGGTAATCGAACGCCGACCAAGGTATAAATTCGGTGACGAAGGTGCACGTTGTTACTGTATTGCTAGAGACTAACTGATATTTTCCGCCTCCGGTTAGTCAATGTTAGATGATTCGGTCACCATCGTAAGCTTTTTTTCCGTGTCTGTCATGCTTTCGATTCTCTCGATCATACAGTAAACTCGTCCACGTTGTCTACGAATGAGTATTAAGTGAGAATTTAAAATATGGTGTTTAAATTCCAGTGGAATGACTCTCGTATATGGATATATTTTGCAAGCCCCTACGTGTCCGGTCCCACGAAACGGATCGTCGCCACTTCGCCAGTTTCCCAGCAAGGAATGCCTTATGATATCATACAAGTTTTCGTCAAATAAATTTTTATTCACTAAAAAACTACTTTTATTCTTTTTATTAATATATATATACATAAATACATTCATGAGAATTTTATTAACGCACAGACTTCATTTTCTGATGACTTTTTTCTTATTTTCCGAACTTTTAACGCCACGTAAATATTACATTTTTTTCAACAACACAAAAAAAATAAACCGATATGCTGCTGTTATGTTATGCGTTCAAAAGAATACTTTTTTATATTATACAATCAGCTATTGACAGTTGGATGGGTACCCATATATGTGCTGTGTACAGCATTATCAAATTATTATATAAATGTGTGTATTTTTAAGTCATTTTTTGACACACAAGAATTTAATCAATTTTGACAATAAATATTTTATATTACCTACACAAGTATTTACTTATAAGTTATAACACTATCACGTTGACATTACTAATAATTGTTAGTTTTCTTTAATGTATTCACTCGCGCATGACCCACTCAGCCACTCAAGTCCAATTACTGTTTACACTTATAAATTATAAACTAGATCTCAGAATGCATAAATCATATAATATTATGTGTTAAAGTACTAATTCCTTTTAAAATATATGTTTAATTAATATATTTTGGACACGCGTGACATCACCCATCAATGGCTACATAAAACATTCATTGAACAAATTTGAAGTACTTATAGCTATCATATACATTGATTTGATAACATTGAAATCCAGAATTAAATTATTCAATTATTTTAATTGCAATAATTATATTATAATGGATAGTGGTAGATCGTAGTGTACATATTAAAGTAACAAACATAGATAAGTATAAAAATATAATAAATAAGATACGAATATATTGAAATAACCAAATGATGGAAACACTTTAGTTCAGTAATATTGTTATGGTAATACAACAATATACTGTAATACATGTTAAGCTCATAGAAAATATATTTATTTATAGCATAATTATTGCTAGATAGTAGACAGTAGACATGAGACATCAGTAGCAAAGAATTATTTTTATAACATTTTCTTATCATGTTAAGTATAATAATTTACAGAATATAATAACCTGTATTATTTTTTTAGTGTACGTCGAACGTGTAAGTTTGGTGTACAACACCAACGTTGATATGATTTTTTGATCATAAACTCATAACGATTTAATAGTAAAATTGATTAATTATTATACATTACACTTTTACAGTATGACCGAAATGTGATATAATATATATAAATATTGATTTACCATTAACCAAACTATGGTCCTGTGTATAATAAAATCATGGAAGGCCAACGAAAAGCCTCCAGAATGTCTAATGGGAAAGTTTGATAGTTTATGCACGATCCCCTTTTGATTTGCATCTTACTATTTGGTCGGCTACCTACGATTACATCTTTTTTTATATAGATAATATCATTTTTAATGGTTTAGGTCATTACAGGCGGAATTTGGGACAACAATATATGTTATAGTATATTATTTGATAAATGGTTTTCAATGATATTCAATAATTACGTTTATATTTTATCTCTGAGTACCCATATTTTGATATATGTTTGTTTTAAAATAACTGAACACGATTATTAAACCATAGAATATTACAGACACGCTCCTAGACAGGAATGATTCATCAACCCTTTTAATTCCAAATTTAATGTTAACAAGTTTTAAATCGGCAAATAAAAATATCATGCACAGCATACCACGATAGATGGAATTTAATTAGTTAAGCCGGTATTTTAAATTTATTTCATGTAATCCTTTTCTAAACAGTTATGTTAAATACCCAAAAATTAATTTTCGAAAAATATCAGTAAATATTATTATCATAAAAATAAGGTATAAAATATAGTATTTGTGCATCATAAATCATATTCCATTCATTTTGCTAAATACATAATAAGTTTCCACAACAATTTTTTAACTTTTTTTAAGATAGTATAGACAGGACGAAAGCACTTATGTATTTTCCTTAATTCATTATCACTTTCCTTTTGAAAAATAATATTTCTTCATAAAATTGATTTATTAATAATTATTACCAGGGTTATTACTTTACTAAGCATTCTATAATTCTTTCAATAATTTAATAAACTCTTTAAGATTTTAAAATTCAATCAAATATATACTAAACTGTTAATACATATATAATATTGTACATAAACCCAGACATTTAATAATACTCATTTTTTCATTTCTTAATAAAGTACATACAAATACTGCTAATTTTAGTAAAAATTATTTCTAATATTCTTATATTACAGTTATAATTTAAAATAAACGGTTTTTACACTTCGATATGTATTATTTATTTATTTTATTGTAAAAGGATCAGACCTTTTGATAAGTAGAACTGTAGTAGTAGATGAAATCTCAACAATAGAATCAGAAATATAAGTATAAAATAAAAATAATGAAATACAATATTGAGAAAAAGAAAACGAAGTGACAAAAGATATGTAAAAGATATAATATTTTATAATTTAGCATTGACACAAGATATTTATTCACTCTCTCATTTTCATATAAACCATATTTTTCGAAAAAGTTCTTTAAAATTATAGATTAATTTTTTTTATAATTATTGACAACAAAATATGATTTTTATCTTTTTGCCAATTTTTCACACGAGGTTTTTGATTTTTCCACGATCACGACGATAGACATGTACACAACGTAGGTAAGTAGGTACACATACGCGATACACCATACTGATTTCAATGTGGGTGGATACATTGATAAAGTTTTATTAATTTGTTTAAACCATTAATTGCCATTATAAGTATCCACGACAAATTATAATATTTGCGTCTACAACACGCGGGTTTTGTTACACGCAGCAGATGACTGCTGGAAGTAATGAGTAATAATATATTATATGCATTTGTGCGTCATAAACCATAATTCATTCGTTTTTTTCTGAATATCTAAGTCTTAAGATGCATTTTTTAACTTGTTGGCTATCTACTAGTGGTAACCACTAACTAATTTATACTTACATATTATGTAGGTTACTACTATTAACGAATAAATAAAATATATAAAACGAATTCACAACAATATCTCACATTGCCTGCGATTTAGTTAAAATCATCGAATGGTAACAATATAATATGTGTACAAGTATTTCGTTAAATTATTGAAATATTCTAAAAATAATATAATTAAATTACTCAACGATAAAAAATAAATCTTAATTATACATGGAAGTGTAACGTACTGAAAATAATATGCACACTCATAAATTTATTTGGTGTAATTCTGAGGTATCTGGGGATATCACATAAAAACGTTTGTTTTAGAGTAATAAAGTAGACAGTGGCGATGTTTTAATGTTATTTATAATACTTTTAATAAATAACAAAATATACTATTCATTTTAAGCAATTATAATTTTTCAGATGGATATTGCTTTGTTTTTTTTAATTTCGTTACACTACATGAGCTCGAACTTCAATTATAAGGAAAAACATTTGCCGAGCACTAATTAGCTAAACATTTACTATTATTAAAAAAAATAGTAAAAACGTGTTTCAATAGATAACTCGGAATATTATTATTATTAGCATGATGGTATCGGGGTATCATCAAGTGCACGTTGAATGTTTTCATTAGGTACCTGCAGTGATTACCAAATTATTCTTGTAACTTATCTGATAACAACAGCAAGTCGCTTGATAGCGATGGAATTTTACATGCACCGTGCACGTATAACAAAACATGTTGAAAATGGTCAGGAGTTTAAATTTAACAATAATAGCAGGTAAGTACATTGCAATTTATAGGAACAATAAACAAAAAGCTCGTTTAATAGAACCAAACGATTTTTTTCACACGTCATTGTTTTTAATTTAACAAACAAGAGGAAAAACCTCTTGCACCATAATTTTATAGACTTGAACATTGATGTACATAAAATTATTAAAAACTGCCGATTTTCGAAGGTGGATATTTTTGTCTGTGCTCAACACCTCGTGCTATAATAATCGAGTGGTTGTTGGCGTGATAGCATGTGATTACGAACAAAATAAAAATAAAATAGGTACACTATCACGTCAATAACCAACGATTGTGGAGAAAAAATCGCAAATCTCTCTCGCTAACTCACGTGGTCGCGATAAGCCGTCGAAACATTTTTCGGGTCGACCATTTTTACACAGATATAGGCCGAAATTAGGTACCAACTAGTAACTACAATTGGAGAGGGAGCCTAACTACTTATAATTTAGTAAAAACAAACATTGTAATTTCGCTCAAATTGCTGATATTCAAAATGAATTATAGGTAATGTTAAAAATTAATTAGTCATTTTAGTTTTTTTTTGTTCTATAAATATTCAAAACCCAAAATCTCACATATCATGTAGTATTTTAACCTTCATTCCATTTTCAATTTACAAACTAAATGTTTAAAAACGTGATTTAAGGTCCCTCAGAAATTCTTCCAACAGAAATTATATTTGGTTTTCAGGGAGGGCTTGAAAGGGGCAACCCCCCGCCTCCCACCATTTCCGCCCATGACCACGGAGATATCCATCAGAAGCTAAAGCTTACCGTTTTTTCCGTGACGTGCACGCGAAGCACGTCCGCAGCGCGTCCAACATGATGTCGCGGCAGACGTCCGCGACCGAGTGTGGCGGACTGGCGAGTGGCGACTGCGGAGGTCGGCGGTCGTCAACCGGTCTCACCTACGCGAGCGTACGCGATCTGGACGAGCGGTTTCGGGTTTTTTTTTTTTTGATTTTTTTATTCTCGCGAACTGTTCACTTTTTCACTAGCGCGACGACGGCGGACACGTCTCCGCAAAAGTTATCGGAAAACCGTTGCGAGACCGCTGCCAGCGATTATATCACGCGCGCGCCAACACGCACACACACTACGACGGCGGCGGCGGTAGTAACTGCAGCTAGTGGTAGTAGTGGTAGTAGTAGTAGTATAGTAGTTCCGTAGGTATATGGTAGTAACAGAGTAGAGTAGTATTACGTCGAGTCAAGTACAAGGTTATACTACTACGGCGGCGGCGCTGCACGTCTGGCAACCGGATTGCGCAACGTCACTTTTATTTTTCATCACTATTATTATTAATTATAAAAACGATGTGTAGGTAAGTAAGTACTCACCTATTATTTTATTATTATTATTATTTTTATTATTATACTACTGTTTAGGAGGTTTTTCGATTTTATAATAATATTATTATAGACGACCCTGCGCGTACTGCGGCGAAACGTGAGGCGGATGGGATAGCTGTAAGTAGGTATACAATCAAAAAATCAAAAAACCAAAAGGGACCTGAAACACAACAGCGGAGTCGTCGCGATGACGGCCAACAAGTGTGTGCGCGCCGAGTCCGTGCAACCGAATACGGCTAGGCAGACCTGTTACCATAATTATTATTATTTTTTTTTTTTATATTATCAAACCACGATTTATCTTCGTTCAGAACGGTCTCGTTAACCGTACACAGTACAGTAGGTACACTGTCTAATAATAATATGTGTAACAGTGATAACGTTTTAATATTATATTGTTACTACATAATATTATATTATACCTATAGTACACCTATATAATAATTGTGTTGCCATGTGTAGTTGTGTATAAAACAATAATCTTATCTCCGACCTGGGTCTTCAATTGGCCGACGGGCGACAGAGTGAGACGGAGACGTTATATATTTTTATTACGGACTTATCGTGTGCTGATAGATAGAGAGGAGTGCAAGTCGTCGAAAACTATAAGAACACGGAGAGACAGTGAGAGAGAGAGAGAGAGAGAGAGAGAGAGAGAGAGAGAGGGAGAGAGAGAGAGAGAGCGAGAGAGTGAGACACAAACACTCGCGCACTCGCATTCAGACACGCTCGCGCATCGCCGACTATAATATTGTAGGTATGTACCTTATATACCACACCGTTTGCGGTTTAGAGACATTCGTAAATTATATTCACTACCAAATGGAAATTCCACCTGAATTGCGAGATACTCGAAAATATTGAGACTTATAGTCGTTGTCTCAGTGCACCGTGTACAGTTATAGGCATCATTATAGGCATACAATAATTATATTATTTCAATATTTGCGCGATATCACACGAGCTAGACGGACCACAGTCGCCACTCAATGCACTGCAGGTCCGAAGGTAAATCCTTTCCACGGAACAGTACTCATCATCGCTGTTATTAGTACATAAATCATACTATTATTAAAATAGGTATACCTACTAATCGACAGTGAGGTACTAAGGTTAGTGAGTTACAATTGACTGAATTCATAATAATAATTTCAATAAGATAAAAAATACAAAAAATAATGTAACCGGTACATATTAGATATTATTGTTGTTATAACTTATAGTTTAACATTATCCAGTAGTTCAAGGGGGGGGGCAGAGTCCCCCTTCTTATTTAAGGCAAGATTATAGGCGTTTTCTTTAAAATTTAAGTGTTTTCAAAGTCCGACAGAACGCTTAACAAGAAATACATTAACATGATATTCAATATAAATTATTTTTTATTTATCTTAATTAATTAATGGAATATATAGGTAAAACTAAAACAACTTTAAAATTTAAATACATTTTTTTTTATCATTTCAGGCTATGAATAGCATTTTATTTTTACTAAGCAGGGATTATATGTTTAGGTAGAATCATATTTCTTAGGAGGAAATTTGTCCTAATAATTAAATCCTATTTTCATAAGATTTATATAGCAGTATAAATATATGTGTGAAAGAAAAAAATGATGGAGGTTTAGACCTTGTGGGCTTTTACAACAGTTTGGTCAGATATTGACCCGGCGAAAATTCAGGAACGCTACTAAATTTTCGGTAACTATAATCCCCCTTCAAAATTTGTCCCACTTTAACCACTGACATTATCATATTATGATATTAAAATTCCGATAAAAAGAGTTATATCATTAGTCGAACAGTGGTTTCCGGGCTAGTGCTGGAAGTTCACAAAACCGTCGTCATTGTGCAGTTCGCGCTTGTGGTTTTTATTTTGCTATGAAATTTCAAAATAAATTATTACATTATTAATTAGTATACAACATGATAAATGCATAGTACGAAACGTCGAAACCCTGTTCCCTTTAGACCATGGTATAACAATTTTAAAACCGGAAATTTGTGAGGATTTTGAAATTTAATTAAAACAGTGTTATGTGTAAACATTATAATATAGGTGACGGAGCGATAAGAACATAGGTACCAAGTCAGAAAATTAATACTATTAATAATTTAACCATGATAAATCGGGTTGGAACTTGCATATTTAATTGCCTATTGTTTTCGTTTTTTTTGCATATTAGAGATATTACTATAGATAACCTATAAATTAATTTTACAACCCAACTAGTTATGTGTTATGGGTAGATAAATATTCTGGATATTTATCGGGTATTTACCCTGCAAGAGTTTTAGTACATACCCGAAATCTGGGTAAATATATAATACATACAATATACATACATATCTGTTACACTATGCAAGTATTAATTTTTAGTTACTGAAAAATGAAATCTTATACCATGTAGGTACTTACACGGCTTTGTTGATCAAAAGTCCTTTTTAGTACAATACATCTATTGTGTTATATCATTCATCACTTGATTATTACAGTTTTTTATACATTAAGTTCAAAGTATCTGCGATTTTTACTATAATCTTTTTTATATTTTTATGAATTTGGTATAGAAATTCAATATTTCATTATAATAATTTGCTATTACTTATTACATTAACTAAAAATAATAAAATTGTGTACTCAACATAAATTTTATTTATTAAAATTAAAATAAAAAATATAAAATTTAACAATCTCCAGAACTAAAAAATGAAATTGCAAACACTTTTATTGCATATTTACTATTTTTACGATATTTTAATGCATATTTTATTATTAATTTAGTTCAAAACTGAGTAAGTTAAAGATAAAGACTTCGATTTGAGATTGTATTGAACTCAAGATTAACAACATTAAAACTGCCGAGCTCGTATTAATTGTATAATGTTAAGTATCTATAAAGTAAATTCGTTGTATATGCGTATGTGAAAATAAAAGAATTATATTCATTTTGTATACACCCAATTGAAAATGTACCGACAATTTAAATAATTAACTCTAATTTACAATATTAAACATGCAAAATTATAGAATAAAAAGGAACAATATGCACATAGTATTGCATTTTCAAGTGCACCACAGCATGTCTGCACTCTACATGCATATATTTAGTAGAACTCAAGTGATTTAGAGTATTTAAGTTCGATGATCAATGACAAACTATAATTAGTACCCCGCAGTGCTAACAGCTAAATATAAATAATTCATTACATTTATTATTAAACGTTTTTATAAACATCGTTGTGAGCGTAACATAAAAATATAAAGCAAATTAGTCTGCGTCCATAATATGAACGAGTTATAAAAATTGCGATCTGCAATAAAGTGTTTGTGATATTTTATTTTTATCAGTTATGGCTGACCTATTCAAGTAGGTACGACATGTTGATTTTATTATTTACTACAGAAAATTAAAGTATAAATCTACCTAAAGTCTCATTGTAGAATTGCAAATTGGGTTGTACCGCCTGCTGAGTGGTAAAAATCAATCATTAGTATTTACCTCGAAACAAAAAAAAACCAAATAAAATGTCCATGCCACTGGTACTTACATAAAATGTATAAATTATATATTTATTTAGGTTAACGTTTGACTCGTTTAACCACCACAATTTTTCTATATTTATATTATTTCCACGTTATCCTAATCGTAAATCACCCTTGGTTTTTCTCTGTATTTTTATTAGGCGGTTTACAGCCGTCAATGCTTCAAACGGTGCGTAAATCTGAGTACCTACAACCTAGTGACCTTTCTTACAAGAATCAATTCGAGTTTTTTAATAAAAATCTAATTTTCATATCATATCCATATAAAAAATCAATAAAATATTTTATCGTACTTTCGATTGTTAAAATTTAAATATAACTATTTGATAAATTTTATTTAACTATCGATTTTCATATTAATTTTTGTATGTTTATGAAAGCAACTTCCAAACTTTTATTTTTATTTTCATAAGTATATCATCGATCCCTAGCCATGTTTGAAGATTAAATAAACATTAAGCACAACATAATCAGACATGTTTGTATATTACAATTGTTTGTCATAATAATGAAAAATAAAAATAATTCTGAAACAGTTAAAACAATTTTGATTTGGATCGGAGTAAAAATTGGTTTTCAAACAAATCCTGTGAATAACATAAAACAATGGTCGTCATTATGAATTTAAAAAAAAAAATAGGTACGAGCATTCTACATTCACGAAAAACATTGCTTAAAGTGAAATAAATAATAATATTTAATATTATAAATCAATAATTTGAATAATTTTTTCTCTATGAACAATGATTTCACAAACGAAGAAAGCTCATTACCTAAAAAAATATATATCTTCATTCTATACATTGTATATATTTTATGGGAATCATCTTCAGTTCTAAATTTTCAGCTACCTAAATTGAGTACCAATTGAAGGATAGTTTTAAAATTCGGAGACGATTAGACACATATTTAAATTAAATTAAAAATCTCGAGAGTCAATTCGATTATGCCCGCATCATAGGGTCATGACATGAATCCTCTAAATTTTTAAATGATTATAGGTTAAGGCTTGGTGTGTTAAACCTAAACGTATACCTCAATATCTTATATACTTTAGAATATGAAAGTCCATGGTAGCCGTTACTATTTTCCTCTTATTTTTTACAGTCAACTTATAATTGTATAAACAATGTGACGTTTGAGATTAATCAATAAAACACTGATGGAATTCGGTACGTAATACTCGTCGAGTAATTCAAATAAGCGAAATATAATAGAACATTTACTTCGGATTAAGTCTGCGACGTTAATTCTTAAAATTCTTTGGACAAATTTCGTCGTTGCTAAATGTCCTAAAATGTATTGATCTTATTTCGTATTCAATTTCGTCAGCAACATTAAAAGTTCTGTATAGCTGGATTGATGAAAATTCAGAAGACCGAAAAAAATATTGTTTTAAAATATTTTTTTTCGTTTTGATAATGGTGTTTGGTTGTTGAATAGAAAGTCATTCAAACCTCTCATTTTAAAGCGAAAAGAAAAATAAACTATTACGCATAATACATGACATCCATTATTTTTATGAAATGTTGTCTGTAAATTTGTTTGGAAATATTAAACACACTGCAAAAATAAGTAAAATCACAATGAAAATAAATGTCCATAA